CAACAGATGACTGGATAAAGAAGTTGTGGTATATATATACAATGGAATACTACTCAGCCATAAAAACAATGCCATTTACAACAGCATGGGTGGACCTGAAGATCATCATTCTAAGTGAAGCCAGAAACAGAAAGAAAAATACCATATATCACTCATATGTGGAATCTAAAAGAAAAACAAACAAAGACACTTAATGAACTCATCTACAAAACAGAAACAGATGTGCAGATATAGTAAACAATCTTATGGTTACCAGGGAGAAAGTGGGTGGGAAAGGATAAATTTGGGAGTTTGAGATTTGCAGATGTTCGCCACTATGTATAAAAACAGATTAAGAAAACCAGGTTTCTTTTGTTTAGCACAGAGCAATCAATATATTCAATATCTTGTAATAACTTAATGAAAAAGAGTATGAAAACAAAATAATGTATGTATATGCATGACTGGGACATTGTCCTGTACACCAGAAATTGAGACATTGTAACTGACAATACTTCAATTAAAATAAATAAGTAAATAATTATAGTAGCAGGTAAGCTACACTGAATGATACCTTACAGAAATAGCTTTACCAAAAGATTTAAACTGCAATCCAAACTTTTTTTCTCTTATTAGTGGACACAATGACTAGCTACTAAAGACATTTCTTTTTGGGTTTTACAAATATTCTGTACTAAGGTTAAAGCTTCTCAAGTTCATTTAAAGGAATCTACAAATTAAAATCAAATACAAACATTACTGCTTGGCCATGGGAATAACTAGTTTTATATATACATCATCTGCCACGGCAAATATACTAGACTAATACATTTCAGTTATATCCTCAAGAAAAATTTCCATGTACTCTCAATTTCTCTCCTTTTCCAGAAAGAATTCTTTGGCAGAGAACATACCATTCCAAAGGGTAACCTGGGTGGCAGCCAGCCACATACTGACGCCTCGGCCAAGGGAAATGAAAACTAGAAGCTCTGGGCCTGGCTTCCCACTTTAAGAACTGTCACTTCATCTTCATCCATAGTGTGCGCCAAGGGTCACCAGACAGATGTCAGGGCTTCAGGGGGCCTTAAGCCACCTTTGAGGCCACCCCTTCTTGCAAATGACGAAACCAAACTTGAGATGAAAGGACTCGCCCAAACTCACACTGACAACTGACGGCAGAACCAGGCCTAGAACCCAAGTCCTTGGTGTTCCAGTCCAGTGCTATCTGAGGGATGGTTTCTTCTTTAACTTTAAAGTTTTATGAAAAAGTTTAAGTGTTTGTGATTTCTTTAAGTTAAAAAAGCTTGGATACGAATCCAAATTCAGGAGGAAAGTTCAGAGAAATGCAACGAAAGGCAAGCGAGAAGTTCATTTCTAACCACCTCCATGAAAGTCAAAACCACTCAGAAGACCCTCTAATCTTCAACAACTAGGAGTCCAAGGAGGTGGGAGATAACCCCCTTACGGCCCAAACAGACCTACCTGTAGGCTGGTTCTCTCTGTATGCACACATCTACGTACAGCTTTCCTTTGTGTCTCCAGAAAAGGCAGTGGCTGGCAGGCACACTGAACACACACTGGGTGGGCAGGACAGCATAGTGGGCACACTGGCAGAGGCCTAGCGTTCTGCTCTGTAACACAGCTGCGCCAGCCTGTCGTTGCCACACAAACATCTGATCAGTAACTACAAAAATGTGCATTTACATGTGTGGGAAACAAATGATGGTTAACGTGAAATTATGTAATAAAGATGATGTACTTAATCACATGGTTCTTATAAAGAAGTCTAGGGAAAATAGAAATTCTACAAAGCAAAGCTTAATGATACTTAACAAGCAAGACCTTTCATAAGAATTCTGGGTATAAATCCAACCTCTGCATTTCAGTTAACTTCAAACCTTGTTTCAAATTATTCTATCCAAGTTAGAATAATACACCAGATAGGTCAACCAGTAAACTTTTCTGGCTAAGAATAATTTCAACCCAAAATTTTTATTAAGTTATAAACAAGGAAACTAGAAATAGGGAAATGTAAAATGTTCCAATGCTTATCAAGGGGTATAAAAACAAGAATTCAATCACTCTGAATCCCAATTACAGCAGAACCCCTTTTATTTTACTGTTGTTGGCTACAGGGTATTTTTAAGATAAAAACTCTCCAGGAAGCTTTTATTAACTAAACCAGATCCAGCACATCCTAATTCTGTGTGCCACACAGCCTTTCTACATGATGGGGAACATGCTGGCGGAAGGGGTCTGCAATTCCAAAGAGCAAAGCACTGGTTCAGTAAATCCTTAATTAAAACTGCAGAACTATAAGTATATGTCTCAAACTTTCGCACAGAAATTCATCTAACAGTGTAGAAAATGAGAAACCATTATCAGGATTAAAAACCAAAGAACCCGTAAAAAAAAATTCAGGACCCAAACCAAACTTGGCTTCCTTACTTTTCTACACAATTATTCAACTTTCTATTTCAAGAGACACTCTATTAAAAATATGAAGCTGATGCCCCTACTTCACCAGCCCACCTCAGGTATACTGGATCATAATAAGTATGGTGGCATTTTTTTACCCCCATCTATACAGGCACCGCCACCTAGTGGCAATTTTTTACCTGCAATTTAAAGATTACAGGTAAAAAATTACTTGGCCCAGCTCTAGTAACAAACAGAAGACACTGATGGTTTGTCAAATAGTCATTTGTCAAATACGCAAATGTATCTGGTACACAAACTCCATGCCATCAAACCACTGACCAGGTACTAATCAATGGAGAAAAAAGTTAAAACAATAAAAATAAATTTATGTGCCACACTATGTTGCAGTGTATCTCTTCTGACTTTCGCATTCACTAGATTACCAAGTGCTGGCACACAGATAATAATGTACCAGAGAAAAGTAAAGAATTGCAAACTTCTAGAAGCAATGATGAACTCTAATATTCAGCTGAAGACAATGATGATCTGGGTCACTGTACCAATGTACTTCTGGCCTGTCCTCCTTCCAGGTTCTTGACGTGACCTCTCAAAACATCCAACAACATGGAAGTGGAAGATGAACTCCTGATGAATACCTTTCTATAAAGTTATAAACGACAAATATTACTTGCGACATTCATCTTAAATTTAGACGTGGAAGCCAAAAAAATTCAAGTTATGATTAGTAATTAGGAATGTATTTCCTTTGAGGTACTGCTTGTGGAAAATTACCAGATGTGGTCAAAAGCTAAAAGGAGTATCAGCTGTGGGTCTATAACCTCCTAAGTGATACAGGTTCAAGAGGAGCTTCCCAAACTTGTTCAAATCATGGCATACAGAAAAAATAATTATTTGTAAACACACTGGTTAGACAATGCCAAGGGCCTGCTCTTGGCTGGACCCACAAAGACTGAAGAGGACAGTATTTTGTTCACTATTGATGGGAGTCTAGGGACTTCAGTCAATTTATGAAAGTCCTCGGAAAAATGCTGACCAGTGCTAAAACCACTGTAATTCCTTGGAGAGTTCCTAAGAGTTCCAGAACTAAGATCACAAAAATAACTTTGGTCTTTTACACATCAATATTCAGGAAAGAGGTTCTCATTGAACATTCCTCCAATGATGTGAGACCCTGGTCAAGGAAAACAATGATTCCATTCTCTTAACAGGTCAAACCAACATGATAGGGTCAGGCTAACCTCCCCAGACATTCCCAGGGCCAAAGCTACAGAGCTGAACAGTGTGTGCTTTAACACCAAAGGACAACTCTCACATGCCTGGGCACTATTTTTAGGTCATTACTTTGGCTGCCTTTCTTCATTTAAAAAAAAGAACAACTTTTCCGTAAGTTTCTCTTCCCCAAGATGGAGAAACCATGTTTTTGAGCTTTTTCAAATCACAAGTTCCGAGACTTGCAAACATGAAGCTTTTGTTTAATCCCTCAGACGGAGAGGATTCATTCTGGCATTTATGGTTCAAAAAAACTTGTAATATTGTGCTTGGAACACACAGAACCAGTTATTAACTTCTTGCTACTATTATAAATAATAACAGCTCAGTCCAGGTTACTGTGACCTCTGACAAATCAAGGAAACAAGTTATTTTCTCCTCTTGTGATTATAACACATTGCAACACTTTTTGCCTTTAGTAAATGTCCTGGTACTCTGAATTTCCCTTTCAATTCATTTAATTTCAACAATCTGTCAAAAAAAAAAAGCCAATAAACAAATACTGAATTACATTTTGTTAGGTTTTTCAAACCCTCAAACTCCAGACTTATAAAAACATCCTGTGTGTCTCCCACCCTGACCACCCTGTTACTTTTCCATACACCACAGGCCACCCATAGATACAAAGCCAGGGCGGGGGGGTTGTGAAGCAGACACGGTCTACTTGGAGCCAGTAGACAGGAGGGCGATGAGGCCTGAGGAAGCACTTATGGACAAAATGTAGTTTCTGTAAGAATTCAATGTTAAGGAAAAATCAAGAACTCCAAATTGGATTTCCAACAAAACAAAAAGAATCCATCTCTTTGAAACGTACTGTTTCCCTCCTGACACCCTGTATGACAACAATGTGGAGTCCCACTGTCTGCAAATACAATTTACAAGAGAGAAGACTATAAAGAATGAAGAACATTCACAGGACATGTGTTCCAATTTTAAAAAGAAAACACTTGAAACAGAAACCTAGAACACATGACCACAAAGCAAACATCTGAATTGCATTCTAACCTTCAGGAAAAGAGCTGATCAAAGAACGAGGGGAGGAAGAGGAGACCTGATTTCCCAACCCCCACCCCCAGCCCACCCCCACCTCAGGAGCAAAGGGAAAATGTCTCCCCTGTCCATCAGTGTTTGGGGTACAGCTGGCCTGTAACAGCAAGGAGGTTCTGCAAGTCTGCAGCCACTCTCAGCCTCAGGACTGGACTGTTTGGAGCAAACCACCCCAGTATTCCCAGAAGATACATATTGGAGGGTGTCTGACACGTTATTACATCAAAATCTCCAACTGTTAAAAGTTTGGCTGCACATTCTTGGATAACACCTTTAATAAATTACCTTAACAAGAGAAGATACATTCTTGCCCAAAAGCTCAATTTAAGAGTAGCTGAAACACTGTTAAGCTATTATGAGATGTGCCAATTTAACTACACTGGCTTTCCAACCAACCCCAAAGCCCCCAAATACCAGCAGACACAGGACTTACGCCAGGAGCCATCAAAGAAGGCAAGTTTGCTTTGGCTCCTTAGAACTTTTTTTAACTAGGCAGGTATACACAATCATGTGTAAGACTGCTTTGTACTACTCGTTATTTACCATGAAGTCATAATGTATAAACTTAAAAGAACTTCAAATCAAACCAAAAGCCCTTATTTTAAGTGTCCAGAAACTTGCCTAAGGTCACTGTGCTTTTTAAGGGACTGACTCCCTGTGCAGTTTTTCTTACCGTTAAAATACTCAGACAAATCAAAACCAAAACGAAGTACTGTTTCTAGACTTCTAGAAAAGCTAATCCACTCTTAAAAGGATACACTGTGGGGTTGAAGTTCTTCAGTATAAAGAAAGAAGCAACAATGACCAAGACCAGGAACAGAGTATTGTTATAGAAGATGGAAAATGTTGTAGCTTCATAGTCAGCAACTTCATTCTTCTTCCACAAGATTCTGTAGACATAGAAATGAGTCAATTCAGTTTTTAAATATGTACTAAAATTTTTAAATTACACATGGCTATAGCTCATTATTAGTTTTTCCTTAAGTGTTCTGGGCAGAATGTGTTTTTAATATTAAATTCAGTCAGCACTGTCCTCTTTTTTCTATTAAAAAAAGATACTTCACTTTATTGAGGCTGAAGAAAACAATTGCTGGGTGTGTTGCCTTTTTGTCAGGCAGTGAGAGCTTTGGAGAAAGGGACTGAGTAATTGCAATTAGCTTGGTTTCATCAGCAGCCAAGACAGGCATCCTTCTCCAGGTGCACACCAAAAACAAATCTGATGACGGGCAGCCTGACATGACAGCGCTGCCGTGGCTGAGACTATCAAGTCTACAGATTTCGGTCTTCAATATTACGCCTTAAGACAAGCCCAAGGACAAAGCTAGCTGTGGCATCACAGAGGCAGGCTCGTCTGCAACTAACTTTATCCATCTTTACTTAATTCAAGCAAAGAATCTGCTTGATCGTTAGGAGGGTTTTTTAACTTCCGTGAAAACCGTTTACTTTTTATTTAATCTGCTTTACTCATGATATTGTATTAATTTACTAGTCCTATATCAACCTTTTCTTTTTCCCTCTTTATGCAGGCCACAGGAAGTTTCAGAGTGCCTGTGAATAAGGGAGTCTTTATTCTCCTCAGTTAATTAACTTTGTAAAGCAGTTTTTAAAACGGTAATAGTCGGATATGAAATCAAATGAGTGGCTCCAACGCACAAGAAAAATAAGTGAGTGGGTTGAGACCAGTGCTTTTTAAAAAATGAAATAGGAAAGAACAGAAAAGTATCAAGTGCATCACACACAGTAGGATAATAATTATTGGTCCGTAAAACATTTACATGCATATGTAAAAGAGTATTTGATCAAACAGTAAAATATATACATATATATTTTTACAGTGGGTTGTAATCAAAAAGGTTGAAAGTCATTGCCACAGATGCTCCCCCACCCATAAAAAATACTCTGGGGCCAGATGGTACTCCCAACTAATCCTAAGGACAGCACTATGGCTAATGTTACTGATAACTGCCATGTTTTATTCTCCAGACGTTCTAATCCAAAGTCAACAAGTGTGGCTATAAAGGAGCTAAATGAAAGGTATTAGCACCTTATCTTCATCAGAAGAAATCTGTGGTCTCTAACATACATGCCATATCTCCTTGATTCTATGGATATCAACTTGATAAATCTTTGATTCACTGTAAAGTTTGGGAGAAGCAAAGGTCATTACATTAAATGTGGCCATCAACTATAAAACAGTTTCTGATTTCAGAGAATTTTAAATGTAAATTTCAAAAATATATATTGCTTGGAATTAATACATTATACCATTCTAACACCGATCAAAGAAACACCAACCCAGAAAGATCCACAGTCCCAACACGGTTTAATACTACAAAACACTCAGAACAACTGCCTCTGTTTTTAAGACTCTGGCTCACGGCCCAGGGAAGACAGCTTCCTTAATTAGACCAGCATGCCTCTACCACTGATGATTAAATTATCTCACCTCCATCACAGCGCTTCTCCCTAACTCCCTGTCATGCCCTGAATCAGAACCGTCTTCAAGACATTTCTGATGAAAGAAGTGGCTTGATCCTTTAGGTTATCCCAGCTCCCAAAGACCATGTGTGACATCAGGGTACACACAGTCAGGACTGTCGGACAGCTCTCAGAACTTTTTCTAGTCTAGCCATATCTTGGTTTATTTCAAAAAAAGTTCAGGACCCCCAAATGCTCTCATCAGCAATGGTTCTGCCAAAGCTTCACCAGCAGAAAACCTAATTTGGGAGAGCACTTCCCAAGGAGTCATTTTTCCAAGGAGCACTTGCTACAATAGGAGAAAAGTTGGAATGGAAC